TCATTTATGGCTCTGTGCAGCTGAATCTGGGAAAAAAACGGCTTCTGCCATTTTTATGATTACACATGGCATCATGCACCTTATCAAAAGACCTGTTTAGTCATTGGATCACAGTAACACAAAGACTCATTTAACATGAATCCAGTCCTAAACCCAGTCTAATAACTTGCTTTTACCTAAGGGAAGTTATTGAGAAATCATCACTGCACAGAAATATGTTTAAACGTATGCATTTGACAAACTGGTTGGATAATGGAGTGTATTTTTCATGTTTTGTAGTGGTTTTGTGTTTGAGCTTTGTATTTTCTAATCACCACTGGATTCTCTTCTGGCCTGTGTCTGGGTTGATACAGCTAATACTGAAACATTTCATCTCAAAAACTAATTAAGCATGTCTATTTTAACTGCTATTTCAGTGCATTTCATCATTCTGATGCTTCTGCGCAAGACTGTTTCTAAATATTTCTGCTGTGGTAGAGTTTGCTGTGAATTTTGTGTTTGTGGAAGGCCAAGTGTTATTACATGTGCCTGGACAATGCTTGCAGATTTCATTACTGTTTATTACTGGACCGTTGGCCCAGTGGGACGGCCTAAGACCCATTGTTCTGGGTCAAGCAAGGCTGGCATGACTCAGCTAAAACAATGACAATGCGAATATATCAACCCACACTTTCGTGTATTTGTTGGATTGTATACCAGGTGTGTCAAACAGATTTTTTTTTACTGAGGGCCACGTGGGTCTTTTGGTGGCCCTCAAAAGACCATTTGTTATTAACTTTGATGTTTTGTGTTCAACTTCAACTGAGCACGAAACGTCACATTCCTCATCGTGTTGCTACGACTGAGCACCGCTAAAACAAACAACTGTGCTCTAAGTGGTATTTCATGCATAGAAACAGTGTTTTAACATGTACTCTTATAAACACTAAAAAGTACTAGGATATACGGGTGACTAAACATGAAATAAATAAAATATAAAAACATTTAAWGTAAAATTAAGAAAGTTTTACTAGCTGTCGTTTAGTTGCGGTGAGTAGCTGCCATCTTGAATTCTGAACTCTCCCACTTTCTGACTGGGAATCCCAACTTGGACATACAACTAAAACAACTGGGCTCCAGCAAAAGTAACCAGTGAAAATGCAGTGAAATGGAAATTTTACACAGCAATTACACCATTTACCTGCAACCAGCTAGTTTTGAACCCTGTGCACCACCACCTAGTGCTGGGTTGCTGCCATTTTGTGGATAAAATAAATGACTTGAATTATGGGAGATGTATTTATGGTCAAAACTGGCTTTAAAGAAGCATACATTTATTTTAAGACAATATATCTTTGAAGCTCTTGTGGGCCACAGAAAATGTAGTGTATACTTTCCTTACTGACTTTTAATATAGCAGGCTTAATTTAAAAACTAGATTCTTGAAATATATATCTTTAATCTGGCTCCATATACTGAATGTTACAAAGATTTTTACAAACTGAAAGAAATACTCTCCCCTTAATACCCTGAGACCCATCAGAAACTCTTGTCTATGCCTCATGACCAAATTCCCATTTCACATGCTGGTAATTTAATCCCCACCTGGAGCTGAGATCTTTTTTTCCATGTGTTCTGATTCTGGTGCAGAACTAGAACATTAGAGATTAGTACATAATTAGGTTGAAACCATCCCCTGACCTGAGCTTCACTACAGCTAGGTTTGCCTTGACATTTGAATCAGTCTTATTAAGTTTAGTGCCACTCAAGAACAAAATAAATAAATAAACCTTTTCAAACGTCTAATTATTTATTTTAAAATTAGTACTGTAGTTGCCATCTACAAACTAGTCTCCCTTTAGGAGTTAGCTTTTCAAAGATGAAGGAACGCCTACTCTTGCTTGTTTGTCTTTTAGTTGAACTCCAAGAGTAGATTTAAATACTCTGACTATTTGATTTTTTTTTTAGTTAACAAAAGAACTGGCATACAGGGCAGCTAAAAGTACTTACAAACTGGTACTGGAGCAGACACGAAGCTTCAAACACGAAGGTGATCAAGGAAGACACGCAAAGCACCAAAAAGAAACTGAGGACAGAAGACAGAATGTAAAGCAGAACTAACGAGGAGCAAATGGGAAACACCTGGAGGAGACACAGGAGGAACAGGTGAGCGTGGGCGGGGCCAGAGAAGCTGAATAGAAAAGACTGGAATTGTAAAGAAACCAGAAACCAGGAGGCTGAAACCAAGAAGGGAAAATCAAAGAAAAAATAGAGGTTCAGAATACACACAAAGAGATGTAGACAGCTAGAGAGAAATACCCAAAGTTTTGTGGACACAGAGACGTGTTCAAGATCTGGGGCTGGAAGTTGGTGTTGACCTTGGGCAGTCTGTAGTAGAGTGTGAACTTCACATTCTAGTGGAGAGGCTGCGCTGAGGAAGCAGCTAATGATTGGAACACACAAATAAATACGTGAGTCAAGACACAGAAATAGGGCAAATGAGGCCTAGCATAAATCTAACCCAAAACAACTACCTGCTTTTTTATTCATCAATAAACTATTTACGGCTACAGTTACACACACAGTTGAAAGTAAAAGACTGTTCTGTTTTTATTTTGTCTGAAACATGTTTTCATAGCAACACATCCAGTAGAACTGGTTGACACACTTTCATGCAGATGAGTGTCATAGATCTGATCTCAACAATGAGAGAATGAGAGTGGCGAATAAACATGAGAAACTTTCAACTGAAGCATCACCAGCAACAGGCCAGCACTGCAGGACCATGGTGGCCATGAATGCTGGCTCATGGAAAGATATCACAGGTCAAGGAACCATGCAGATCTGCTGTTGGGTTGTGCACAAAATACTAAATTAAATTACTTGTTACTTACTGGCAAATAAATTGTACCAAAGATTGCAAACCAATGGGTGTACGCCATCAACTTTAACATTCCTATAATTATTGCAATTCTCTATGACATAACTTTATTCGTAAAACTGGAGATATAAAGAAAACAAAAATCTTCTTTGCATATTATTTATCAGTGACCTAAATATGCCCTCAAAGTTTTACTTTAGCATTAGTGAAGTATCTTATTTCTTTCAATAAATCAATCTTGAGTCTATTTATAGTTAACACATATGGAATGTTTATTAAACTACAAAAGATTGTTCGTTTTTAGATAAAGACTTTAAACCATTTATGAATTTGTATAGAAAATGCTATGCTTTGATTTTAAGTTTAGTGCTGTAAGCCTAATTATCAGTAAAATATCTCATGTAATTCAGGGTTGCATGGTGGTGGTGAAGCCTCAAGATCTCTAGCTCAAATGGCAGCACTGGAACCTGTTTATTCTTTTCATGCCTGTTTGGTTCAAAGGATTTTGGCTTCTTCCCACAGTCCAAAATTATGTAGGTTAATCGTATTTAATTGCTGATTCTAAAAAAAAACTCAAGAGATAATATTTATCCAACCACGCCTTTCCTTTACTGGTTTCATCTCCTTTTCCAGGAAGTAGAGCCTATAAGCAGTGAGAGAGGTGGCCACACAGAGACAATCAAGACAAACATTCATTCATGTCACTCTCACACATCAGGGACAAATTAGTTACCAGTTAACCTGCATGTTCTTTTTTTGGTTTTGGCTTTGTTTTTTTATCTGTGGGAGGAAACCAAAATATCAGAACAAAGCCCACACATGTATGGAGAGAACATGCAAATTTCTCACAGAAAAGCCCTAGGCTGGGAGGCAATCGCTCAGCCTTCTCGCTGAGGCAACAGCGCTAAACACTACTCAAAATGTCAAAAACTACAATTTTCTTGAATGGCCACTTGTTGCTTCCTTCAACATAATTATTATCCAGTTATAAGCTTCTATTTTGCAGCAAAATTATTAAGTTTACAGTGTGGACATCAAAGAAATAAAAAAATACATTCATGGTAATTGTGTATGATATCCACGCATACTGCACAAACATGGATGAGTAAATATGTCTCTTTTTTTCTCAAATTAACCTAAAGTTTCCATATTCAAAACATTATTAATAAAATATAAATAAATTGGTTGTTGTGGTGCAATCTCCATGTCTGTTGATGAGCAGGTGAATGAAAGGCTTTGCACATCCACAAGAAGGTGCCAGCAAAGCATTATGAAATATGCTTTTAGTGCATGTCATGATGATWATTATTTCATATTCTGTTTCTTAGAATGGCGCCTCTTTTACACCAGGAGTGGACATTCTGTATTGCTTACCCAACTGTGGCTTTCCTTAAATGCAGTCCTATTTTCAGTCTGAACTTGGCCTTATGCTGCCTGTCCATCTGTGTTGTAAATATTAGTGTCAGTGGTGAAACCTTTTTACAAATGGATGGTGTTGTGTTGACAATCCCTCACGTGTCCAATTCCAGCTCTTCTGATGATGAAAGCTTGGTAGCTGTAAACAGAGGACTCTTTCCCATCTCAGTATGATGTGAACGCAGTGTTGGGTTCTTATTTCCTGACCTTTACTGTCCCTGGTGAAAGGTGCACYTTTCATATTTACTTAGACAATGGAAGAACAAACATCTGAAATCGCACACCAATTACATTTGATGCATGCTCCTGACTAGTATGCTTTTCACTACTGACTAGTCCCAAACGCACTGAAATACAGGATGTGAAAGGGGTCCAAACCAAAATAATATGAGCAATTTTCACATCGCCACTTTTCTTACATTTGAAGAACCTAAAAATCTAAACTGAGGCTTTCAATTAAAAACATTAACAATCAATTTTAAGCATTAAAGGTGTCTATTATTGTTGTGTTTTTTTTTCTTGTTTTTCTCCTGTCCTCCCATCCCCCCCTGTTTTCTCTTTCCTCTTTGTCTGCTTGATGTGCTTCATCCTCTCCTGGGTGACTTGACTCCTCCCAGCGACAGTTTAAGTCTCTGTGATTGGTTGATTATATGTTAGGGGCGGGGCTTTGCTTGCTGCTCTGCTGTTTTTCTAGCTCAAGGATGTGCTCCGTCGTCACTCGTCAGTTTCGCTTACAGCCCAGCAGCAACGGAGAGCCAGCTAAGTGCCGATTAAAACGTGTCGGCAGCTATAACAGTTGGCTAATAACCCATAATTCAACCATCACAACACGGTGAACATATTAGCCCAGCGGAGGAGCTTTCTAATTTATCCTCCAGAAACGGAATACAGGAGTTCGTCGCTGGTTTCGCTTCTCCAGTTCGAGCCTCTTTGTTTTTACACCGCGTCGGTCAAACAGGTGAGCAGCAGCGCCCCCCTGTGAGACAACCGGAAACAGCTTCGAGGATAGGGAGCCAAGGAAGTATCCGAGCCGACAGCCTCCCTTGCGACGTGGGTCTCCACAGCTCAGCCGTCCGATGCGGGGCGAGGATGAGTCCCGCGCTAGAAGCACTGATGCAGGGGGACGGGACTCCTTATTCAGGAAAAGGGGTGATGCTTGAGCCCTTCGTGCACCAGGTGGGGGGCCACTCCTGCGTATTGCGATTTGGAGAACAGACAATATGCAAGCCCCTCATCCCACGAGAGCACCAGTTCTACAAGAACCTGCCCCCGGACATGAGGAAGTTCACCCCCCAGTATAAAGGTATGCACAATGCTAAAATGCAGGGGAGCTAACATGCTAGCTGTAGCATCATTTGTATGTTTTGTTGCATGGCTTTGGGGGGGACATTGCGTCCAAAAGACACGTTTAGAGATGGTTACATTCCTTTTTTAAGTGGCTTCATAGTCTATGTCAATCATTTGGCAAGTGCAGCTCGTTTCGTGGGAGGGTGTGTGTGTGTGTGTGTG